TGCAGCCCGTTTCTTACACTTGTTGGAGGGCTTGGGCTTTTTCGATTCTTCGGACCAGCTCTCCCACTGTTGGCACAACTGCTGGTAGGCCTCCGGTCCCTGGAAAGCTCCCGGGGACCAGACTGGGGGGAGGCACTTCTGGAGCACAAATTGCTCCAGCTTCCAGTTACTGACAATATCGGTCATCATAGCAAAGGGGCGAGATCAAGCGGTGCTGCCTCAGAGCGACACTACCATAACACCTGCACCCCTGTCCACCCCGAAAGGAAGGCTGCAGCCCTCTAGCCTTCCCCAAAGAGCTCGTCTACCTCAGCAGCTCGCCCAGGGACGCCCCAAGGCAGGCGGCCGGCGCCGGAGCCGGCAGCGCTGGGGCTGAGGCTCTGCCTGCCAGACAAGCTCCCCGGGACAACGCGCAAGCGGGCAAAGCCAAGCAGAGGTTTGTAGGCCCCCAACAAGAAGATCTCACCAATCCGTTGGGCAGACGTTCTGGGCGTCTCGGGAAGCAGGAGAGGGTCGCTGCAGAAGTCTGTGCGGATTCGACACCTTTAGGTTCAAGGTGTTAACAGGGTCTTTGTGCCGGGCACTTTTTATAGCCCTTGCGGGTCTTTGTTTGAGGCTGATAACGCTGCTGTTTACTTCCCCACGGCTCTTCCTCCCTCAGGTGTTACATGCCTGCCCCTATCTTCCCAAGGACACTTTCCTTGGCCCTCCTTATCTTGTGCTGTGCTGATTAGCGAGCCCAAAACCACACAAGAGCAGCTGCTTTTCTCATTATTTTTGAGGAGATCAGATACTCATCCCAAGTCACTCGCGCTAACTCTTGCTCAGGCCAAGCGTGCATTGTGCTTGGCCAGAAGAGGGAGAGCTGGGGGTGTCCCCACAGCACCCATCGCCTCAAATCCACCGTTTGCAGCATCTTTGCAACAGGATCAGGGCAGCACCTGGGCTTTCAAGGGGCATCACAAGTAGTACCCCAGGGCTCCAGGTACTGCTCGCATCTGGTACCTGCAGTACCACAGGTGAGCTAAGGGCAAGATAAGGGCGAGCAGACACCCCTCGAGCCAGCACCGGCATGTTCAAGAGCTCCAATCCACTTGCCTCAGGGGGCGAGGGCAGATGGCAGCAAAACTCACATAATCTAATTTAGGGCCTCATCACAACTTTGGGCATCAGGAGTGACCCTTAGGCCTCACGCAGAATCACAGAATCATTAAGATTGGAAGGGACCTCTAGAGATCATCTAGTTCAACCCCCCTGCATACGCAGGGTCACCTAGAGCATGTGGCACAGGACTGCATCCAAGTGGGTTTGGAAGATCTCCAGAGAAGGAGACTCCACAACCTCTCTGGGCCGCCTCTTCCAGTGCTCTGGCACCCTCACTGTTAAGAAATTTTTCCTTAAGTTCCTGTGGAACTTTTGCTGCTTCAGTTTGTGGCCATTACCTCTAGTCCTATCAGTGGCCACCACTGAAAAGAGGCCAGCACCATCCTCCTCACTGCCTCCCTTGAGGTACTTATAGACACTGATCAGGTCCCCTCTCAGCCTTCTCTTCTCCAGGCTGAACAAGCCCAGCTCCCTCTGCCTCTCCTCATAGGGCAGATGTTCCAGGCCCCTGATCATCCTTGTAGCCCTGCGCTGGACTCTCTCCAGCAGCTCCACATCCCTCTTGTACTGTGGAGCCCAGAACTGGACACAATACTCCGGATGCGGCCTCACCAGGGCTGAGTAGAGGGGCAGGATCACCTCCCTCGACCTGCTAGAGATGCTCTTCTTAATGCAGCCCAGGATCCCATTGGCCTTCTTGGCCACGAGGGCACACTGCTGCCTCATGGTCAACTTGTCATCCACCATGACACCCAGGTCTTTCTCTGCAGAGCTGCTCTCCAGAAGGTCGGTCCCCAGCCTGTACTGGTGTCTGGGGTTATTCCTCCCCAGGTGCAGGACCTTGCACTTGGCCTTGTTGAATTGCATGAGGTTTCTCACCGCCCAGGTGTCCAGTCTGTCCAGGTCCCTCTGGATGGCAGCGCAGCCCTCTGGGGTATCAGCTACTCCTTCCAGTTTGGTGTCATCAGCAAACTTGCTGAGGGAGCACTCTGTGCCTTCACCCAGGTCATTGATGAATAAATTGAACAGGACTGGACCAAGGACTGACCCCTGGGGAACACTGCTAACTACAGGCCTCCAACTAGACTCTGCAACACTGGTCACAACTCTCTGAGTTCTGCCATCCAGCCAGTTCTCAATCCACCTCATCGTCCACAGTTAGCCAGGCACTGCCTTGGTCCTCTGAAGGTTCAAATTTGGGCCCCCTGCAATCTGGGTCAAACTGTGTCGGTGGGACCCTGGTGTCACACAGGGTCGAGGACAGCTGTGCGCCTGCACCTGTGAAGGCAAACAGCAACCCCCAGCCTTGCCCGATAAACCACATTTTAGCTAAGAGTGCTGCAGGAAATGCCACGCTTGCTTTCTTTTCTTTTTTTTCTTTTTTTCTTTTTCTTTTTCTTTTATGTCATTACAAAGAAAACAAGGGCATTACTGCTGTGCTGCCAGCTGTGTTGCAACGGGCGGAGCAGCTCGGCCATGTTGCCAGCAGAGGTTAAAGGCACTTTGCCAACCAACAGAGGGGACATAAATGCCCATCCCTTGCTAGGTCCCCCTTTTGAATTCCCACCACCCAAAGAAGCCAGGGTCTGACTGGGATCTCCTTCGGAAACGGGCCAATTCCCTGCAGACCTTTTGCACTGGGAAGTGCTCCTCAGTGCTCTTTTTTTTGCTCCTCAGTGCTCTTTGGGGCCCATCCAGAGCTGTGCAGAGGGGCATAAATGTATTTTTGACCCACAAGTCTGAGTCCAAGAGCTACAGAGGGAGTTTTTCACCCCCTTTATCTCTATTGCCTTGTTTTTCCCCAAATCCTGAGTACTTGGTAGTACAAAAATAAGTCGGTGTCTGGATCTGTCACCAGAGCTTCTGTGCAGCCCCCCAGAGCAGCCCTCCCCGATCCAGACATGCAGCCCTCTCAATAGGGACCACGTCTGTCCTATTTTATGCTATTTTATGGCATATTTGTTCTCTCCGGAGCTGCATACCGCACTTGGCGATGCTCCTGATCGCAGGGGCTCATCCTGCGCTCACCCACGAGCCCCATGTCCCCGCATGCCAGACCCACAGCCCCACACGCTGCTTCGTTCCCAACCCTCTGCCTTTGGGCCAGGCACCTCCACAACCTACGGGGAATTGAGCAGAGACTGAAACATGGTAGGAAGCTGCTCAGGGCTTGCAAATCCCTTGGTTCTTTTCCCAGCCCTCATGTTTTGCTTCAAAAAGCAGATGCTTTGTTGCAAGAAGCTGGAAATAAATCTAAAGCGTAATGAACTTGGCCAGGTAATGAAGGGGCACCCCATTTTGCTCTGGCAAAAGCTGGGGGGCTTCTGGGAGCCTGTGCAGCACAGCAAGGTCACAGGCTCCCTTTCCCCCGCCTTGCTATTTTCTTCCCAGGCGAGCAACCCCAAACATGGTGGGGAAAGGCCAAAACAGCAGGTGCTGCCCGGCGCGTTCCCACCGCACTCAGATCTTTGTTATTGATCAGCTGCCGACAAGAGGGTCCCGCTTCCAAAATGTTTTCCAGACAGAGCAACGCTCCAACCTGAGAACTGCTTGGCCTTCAGGAAAGGTGTAAACAGCCACTTCGGCCAAATAACCCTTTCTCTTCCAAGCGGGAGTGCCAAGCTTTTGGGTTGCAAATATTGGGTGTAATTTGGGCCGATTTGCCCCACCATGGGTCTGCTGAAC